TCACCCTGTGGGAAAGGGGGCTCAGGGATCTGGCACAAAACTGGTGATAGTCCTCTGCTATGTCATAAGTAATAGGCTCTCCTTTCTTTCTAACTGGAATGGGCAGGAAGAAAGGGGCACATGAAGGAGGGAAGGAAAAGACCCGATTCTGGAGGCCAGGCAAGTGTAATCAAGACCCAGGTTGCCTGCTTGACAGTGTGCAAACCTAACTTCAAGGCCCAGCCCTGGTAAAGATGGGACGCGCCGGACTCCAACAGGGAAGCAGAGTTGGGCAGTGCCCGCAGCCATCACCACAGGAAGGAGGGCTGAGGGAGACTGCGGGCGGCCCATCTGTTCCACAGGCTCATGCCAGCAAGATCTCTAACTGGTGTAGTTTCGCCCTGGGGCTCACACATCCCACCCACCATGAGTGATGCCATCCCTGAATCAATTCGGCAAATGTAACCATCCTCATCCTGGGCCACAGGCTGAAGCTCCAAGTCCTCGGTCACTGTTCAGGGAGAGGGCTTGATATAATTCAGGCAAAAGAGACTCATCCAGCCCTTAAACGGGAGCTGAGTGTGAGCCTGGGGCTGCTGGTGACCATCTTCACCACCTTTGGGGGGACTCTGGAGGCCACAAGCAGAGCAGAGAGAAATCATGTTTTCATATCATTGGTTGAGTCCCCAGATCCAGCCAACTCACCGTTTCAGCTACGGGAACCAATAAATTCCACTTAATTAAGGTATTTCCATCCTGACTGGTGTTTCTCTGTGGTTAGAGCATCAACCTTTGCACCAAAGGTTTGAGGGTTTGATTCCCTGTAAAGGGCACACACATCTGGGTTGCAGGCTCACTCCTCGCCCCAGGTAGGGGTGCATACAGGAGGCAACCAATCAATGTTGTTTTTTTCCTCTCCCTCCCCCCCATTCCTTCCTCTCTCTGAAAAGGAATGGACAAAATATCCTCACGTAAGGATGAACAAAACAAAAAAATTAAGGAATTTCTGTGTTGAGTTCTGCTTTTTTTTAAAATGAAGCTCTTTTACAAATATGTTTTTATTGATTTGAGAGAGAGGGAGAGGGAGAGAAACGAGAGGCATTGATTGGCTTCCTCCTGCATGTCCCATACTGGGGGATCGAGCCCACAACCCAGGCATGTGCCCTGAGTGGGAATCGAACCATGACCTCCTGATTCATATAGGTCAACACTCAACTACTGAGCCACGCCAGCCAGGCAAGAGTTCTGCATCTTGCAACTGTGTTTCACACCATCTCTCATGAACACCTACCCCATTCTTCAAGGCCAACATTCCATCTCTCCTCCGTGAAGCCTTCCTGGACCATCAGTCTCAAGGGGCATCAAGTTTCTGCCTTGTCAGGTTTCCTCTCCTGACAGCTGGATTGGAAGGCACTACAGGGCAAGGACTGTGTGCACTAGTACCTACCTCCTTTTGATAAGCAAACGTTGCAAAAGAAAGCATGACCCTCTGGCCCTAATGAACTTACCACATAGAAAAAAGACAGACAATTGACAGAGACTGTGTGTGAGTGAGTGCAAGTGCACACACGCCAATTTCCCTCACACTTACTAAAACACAGGGAGGCAAACAAGTGGGTAAGAACAGATACGGAGCATCCTCCCCCTGATCAAAGCAAAGCCCACCCCCCATCCTAAGGTTATTCCAGAAGGAAACTTGCCGCCAACAGCAGTGGCACTAGAAATCTAGGTAAGGAACCCCAAGAGTAAGGTCAAACCAAGGGGGAGGGCAGACTGGGCCACAGGGTGTAGCCGGACATCGCCGTGAAGTGCTCCTTCACAGGGCTAGCTGCCATTTGCTAGAGCCAGAAGGGAGGGGAAGCTTCCAAACAGGGCTGCCTGCTGGTCTTGCCCCTTCGGGCCCCATTCTCAGAGCCCGGCAGCCCTTAAACAAGATGGAACCAGATGTCTCTTTGACAGTTCTTTCATTACCAAACTCTTGAGACACACAGTTGGGCTCAAGGGCCTCAGTGCCCTGCATATCCTGCGACTTCTGCTGAGCCCTTCGCAGCCTGCAGCACTGGCTCCCCCTCCCACCTCGAGACAGGTCCACTCCAGCACCTGCTGAGACAACAGGCAGTTCCAGGACTCCACACCATCTCCCATCCGTACCCCACTTCCAGGCCCTCAGACCCTTCCACTAACACAGGCCCCTCCTCACACTGCCACCAGTCTTTAAGAATAGCCTGGTCCTTTCTTGCCCTGGCCAGTGTAGCTCAATGGCTGGAGCATTGGTCTCGGGTTCGATTCCCGGTAAAGGGCACGTACCTGAGTTGCAGGTTCATCCCTGACCGGGTCGGAGAGCAGGCAGGAGGCAACCAACCGATGTCTCTCTCTCACACTGTTTCTCTATCTCACACTGTTTCTCTCTCTCTCCCTCCATCCCTTTCACTTGCTCTCAAAATGAGTGGAAAAAATATCCTCGGGGAGGATTAACCAAAAAAAGAAACCTGGTCCTTCTTTCTCTTCTCAGAACCCTTCCAGGGCTCCACACTGCTTTTAGTGCCTTCAATGGGCCCTCTCACCTTGCTAAGCTCTGCTCTTGCCACATCTTGGCCACCAGTTGTGCCTCCCTCTTGCTAGCCCCTCTGCAGGACTGGCCGCCACCCCACCTCCGAATACTCTCTCACCCTGAGCCCAGCTCCAGCTGCCATCACAAAACCTTTGGTACTCAGATCTGAGCCACGAGCACAGCCCCTGCTGGCACCGCCCCTCTCCCAGCTGTGCCCTGGACCACTTACTGCCTCTCTGTGGACAACTTCACCTCCAGAACTGAGAACATAAAGCCCGTGGAGACAGGGCCCTGAGGGTCATCATGCTTCTCTCGTGGTGTCTCACATGCTTTGGACAAAGCACAAGTCACCTTTGATAAATGCCTGAAATGAAATGAGAGAGAACACATTCCTAATCCCCAAGAAAGATGTGTGTTCTTCCCAGGAATAAAAATAAAATAAAAATGCTTAAAACCACCAAAACAGGCTGTTCCTCAAAGGGAGCCCTGAGATCTTTTACTATGATGCACATTTTGGGGCCCAGCATGTCAGCTGAATGTAGAAATGAATTAAAGAATGAATGAATGGATGGATGGATGGTTCTCCAACAAATTACATCCTGGACTGATGGCAGTCACATGCATCTCCTAATGGTTTCAAAAGAAAGGACAGCTTCCTTGGCAAGTCCCGGCCCTGGGGTCTATTTCTCCCCACACAAGACAAGAGTTCTCCTGCAGCTCACCCAGAACTCAGCAGGAGGGTCTGCAGCCAGGCACTTGGGCTCCATGGGGCCTGGCTGTGGGAAGGCTCAGGTTAGAGGGGCATCCAGGTGGCAATGCCCCACACAGAGTAGGCACATGTACTCCCTCTTTTTTTCTTTTTTTAAACATATTTTTATTGATTTCAGAGAGAGAGGAAGGGAGAGGGAAACAGAGAGATAGAAACATCAATGATGAGAGTCATTGATCGGCTGCTTCCTGCACACCCCCTGCTGGGGATGGAGCCCGCAGCCCGGGCATGTGCTCTGACCGGGTATTGAACCACGATTTCCTGGATCCTAGGTCAATGCTCAACCACTAAGCCACGCCAGCCGGGCTGCCTCTGACTTTTTAGGGTACACACTTCACCAATTTCTCCTGCTTCTCCAAGAGGAAGGGAACAACCAACTGGGCAACTGTGACAGAAAAACGACAGGGAGCCACTGGTACTTACATTCTTATTGTGGTTTCTGTTCATTTGTTTTGTTTTTGCTTTTTATTTTTTTCCTAGAAAAAAAAAAAACACAACCAGGGGAATTTATATGATAGTGTCAGGATAGCAGGGGAAGAGAAAGGCCAGGGGGTGGACAGTTAATAAAAAGTGGATTCCGAATTACATGGAACAGTCCACAGGGTCATGTCTGGGGCCTCACGAAGTGACCGGTCACTTTGGCATGCGTGTCCGGTGCCTGGTCTCCTGATCTGCCCCAAGGTCAGTGAGAGCTGGCCACACCCTAGGTATCTGCCAGACAAACTCGGGAGTGACAGAAAGACAAGACAATGTCACTCCTTGACTTTGTGCGCAAGTCTCACACGGCAGTCTTTCTTGCCGAACAGTGGCGTCTGGAAGTGTGAGTCACTATGGACACACTGTGACATCGCAGTGACCTCCAGGCAGCCACTCATTCCCGTGGAGACATGGTCTTCACACCCACACAGGCGTCTGTCCAGACATCCCCAGGCGGTTCGGCCAAAGAACGAGGCACATAACAGTTCCTTCCTAGCCACGGTCCAACAGCCGTGTCCCTTCTCCGGTCTCACTCCGTCACCTGGAGGAGAAGACTGGGAGCCATCTGCTTTTCAGCTCCGCACTGGGCACTGATTCCAAAGGTCGACCATCTGGACCCATACTGCAGGTCTCTCGAGTTTCTCCCACTTTGACACCTCTCAGGGCAGAAAATTCTGCCAAACCCAGAGCCACGTGTGGCAATACAGGAAAGCCAGAGCGATGGCTGGGCAAGAAAGAGCCAGCAAGTAGCACAATTCAAGACCAGAGAACATTCAAGAAGGGGAGGGGGCACGCAGCAAACTGTTGCCCCAAAGTCAGTTTAGGGGAGGCACTAAGCCTGAAGGACACAGCCAGGTCTGCCATCTGACGCCTTGCGCAACAGGGTCCCCCGGTTGCGGTTCCTATGTAGAGAGTGGCAGATTTCCTGCCCTGCCTGACCCCTGCTCCCGCACGGAGGCCAGGTTACATCTCAGTGCCACAGTCCTGAGGAGCACCACGCTGGCCGGCCAGCCTGGCCATCGTCCTTAGCCCTCTGCTGATGGTGTTCTGGGTTCCACAGGAAGTCCACTGGGAGCGGGGAGGGCAAGAGCAAGGGAAGAGGGCTGCCTTCTGCTGAGAGAGGTTCAGGGAAGAACTAAGAGGGTCTGGAAGGAGCTGTGGCCCAAAACACTGCAAAGCCCAAAAGAAAGGGATAAGTATGGAAAGAATGACAACAGTCTTGTCGCGAGTTTAAAAACAGATTATCATTGCTGTTGCCTGGTTTTGTTTTTTCCTTTTAAAGCCACTCAATTTTCAAAAGTGAAGGGGCTGGGGTGGTTCAGCCCCCTTCACTCTGGTCCTCTCTGGGCACCAGGTGGTCTCAGACCCACACCTGCTCTGTCCTGGCCTGGGCTCCAGCCACCCAAGCCAGGGCAGGGCAGGGAGAAGACTCGCTCTGCTTCCCAACAGCAATTCCTTCTCCCTGTTAAACCAGAACATGGAGGACGGGAAGTCCAAAGACTAAAGTGCAGAGAAGTCCGCAGAGCGGGCGGCCTGGCCCTGGGCACTGAGAAGGAATGGGGTGGGTCTGCCCACAGCTGCAGCTGTGGAACAAACGCTGACCATCACAAAGGAAGCCTGTAGGGCACAGTCCTCTTTCCCTTGGGCCTGTTGTCACCTCTACCTGAGGCTGTCCACTGTCAGCAGCTTCCCAAGGAAAGAAAGTTCTGGTCTGGAAGATATGGCCCATGAAGGAAGAAAACTTATATGACCATCCCTGGTTGGTAATGACTAGTGACCTCAGGGACAGGAAGGTGGCAAGAGGGGAAACAGTGCATGATATAAAATCCGTGAACCCCAGGTTTCAGGAGCAGGGATCCATGAACAACCCCAAAGGCAGAGTCTCTCCTGGGGAAGATTTGATGAAGATGCTCAGGATCCTACCAGTGAGGCCTCCTGGGGGAAGGCAGCCTCTGGGTGTGGGAGGAGCCACGGAGTGGGAGCAGGGAGGCAGAAAGCCCAGGCTGGCATTAGGGTGTGTAGGCCGGGGGTGGCTGGAATTGGTTGATGACCTCATATTCCGAGGGGTAAGGCTCGGTCTCCTCCATCTCAGACAGCAGCTCCAGCGCCTGCTCCTCCTCTTCTGTAGGGTAGTGGCGCAGGAGGTTGGCTGCTGTGGCCAGGATTGAGGCTCCGCCAGCTCCTGCCACCAGGTAGAAACTAACAGCAAAGGTGACATACACCTGGGAACCATGGTACTTCTTATGTTGCTGCTGCTGGGCCAGGATGAGTTCGGAAGCCCAGTAGGAAAAACCGATGACAGTAGCACACTGCAGGACTGGGGGACAGAGGGACAGCACAGAAGGGGGGTTAGCAGGCACCCAGCAGCTGGGATGCTTGGGGAACCAACTGCAGCCTCTCTACCCAAACCCCAGTGTCAGAGAACCTGTGTGGCCCTGGGTCCTGCAAGGGGGGGAACTCTAGGGTCCTTAGGCTGAGGCTGGGACAGATGCCTGACCCCATCTGGGCCAGTCAGTCTCTCCATCTTAAGAACCTGGAATTGGAATACAAGGGCTGCTAGAAGTCACTGCATGCTTGAAAGGAACGGACAAGCCATGCAGTTTGGGAGCTGGAGTGAGCACCACCACAAATCAAATCAACACCCAGCCCAATCCTGGCAGAGGCTAGTCTGTGGGGAAGCGAAAAGGGGAGGAAAGATCCGATGAGACCATGAACTCCAGGGAGACACAGTGAGACACTCTGCTTCCTTCCCTGCTGGTTGCAGGCCCCAGGACCCAGTTGAGCCTCAAACCCAGTTCTTGGAGAGCCGTGAGATTTCTTGGGGAATTCTAACAATATTCCCTCCCGCAGCTGGGCCAGGTATACATGCAAATGATGAAAGCAAGCTGCTATCACGCCCCAGTGCTCCAGGAAAGGCTAGGGCTGAAATGAGCCTCTGGACCAGTGTCTGCTCAGAGAAACCCCGCCATCCCCACCTATAACTCCACACAGTGTGCCCCCGCCCTGTGGCAGTTCCTCCCCCACTGGAAGCAGGCCTGGGCTTACCTGTGAGGATGTGGGCAAAGGCATAGCGACGGGTGATCTTCAGGGCTGGATGCTTGGGGCCAAAGACATCCAGAAGGAACGCGGAGAGACTGCACAGGATGCCCAGGAAGCAGAAGGCTGCAATGACCCGCAGGAGCAGCACCGTCTGGGGATTCATGCAGAAATCTGTGGGGGGGAAACCAAATCTTCGGGACCCCATGCAGCACTCTGGAGCAGAAAGTCCCCACCTGGGAGGAGTTTGTCCCCCTTGGTCAGTCCTGGAGTGCCAGGGGAGTCCTAGAGAATGTGGTCATGACTCTTGCTCCCACCTGGCCCACAGACAAGGTGGAACAGCATCCGAATTAGCAGACAGGGACCTGTCACCGTTTCCATGCACTCAACTCCTTCCCTTCCAACAAAACCAGTCTATGTGCAGGCCTCCACGTTGTCGTGCTTGCCATGGTCTTTTAACCATTTTTAAAGATCCTGACAATTAATATGACATGTCAGCCCATTCAGCTAAAGCATGTCCTAGTCTGTGGAAGAGCCCACTCACTACTGTGCTGCGATGGCCAGGGAGGCAAGCAGAGGCCGAGCAGTGTCGATTTTCTACCCAGCGGCTCAGTCACCCCCTTTTTTGTTAAAAAAGAACTTGAAGCCATTTAGAAAATGTATCCTTACAAGAGAGTACTAAATAAGTTAGGAAACATGGTAGACTAGCCCTTCACATTTAGTTTTGTTCACTCCCTGAACCCTACTAAAACAAAACAAAACAAAACATTTTAAAGGCATAAACCCATCCAAAGGGGAGAGGGCAAAACACAATTCTGGAAGCTGGACAGTAAAGGGACTTAGAACTGCCTTCGCAGGCCGGGTAAGTGGGATGTCAGCCAGAAGTGGGACAGCTCAGACACAACCAGATTTACACCACAAATACCTGAAAAGCTCAGAAACTGACAGCACCAAACACCTTCTAAAATGAGTGCAAAACCGTAGAGGGTGCACACTCCACACTGTGAGGGAGTGAAGCAAGGCCAAGGAAGGTGCTGAAAGGAGACCCAGCACTCACGAGTCCCCAGGGTCACGGTGAGGGGAAAGCCCAGGACCACAACTGCACACCGGGCACACAGAGCAACCAATCTAGGACCGTCTTACCAATCTTACTTCTTTTAAATTTTGTCTAGACAACACTGTCAGACCCCTGCGATGTCTATACAAAATGCCACAGCTCCCAGACACACACAGACAGAATAAGGGCTGATCTAAAAAGAAGCCATTTATGTACCTTAGCTTCCCCTCTATTCCAGCCCCACAGGCTCTTCTTTCAGCTAGGTCATCAAGTGATTTAGAAGCATCTGGAGAGGCTGGCAAGACTCAGACGACAGGCTCCTCTCCTGAGCCCCTACAGCAGGCAGAGAGGCTGGGGGAGGCCCGCATCCCTCTCCAGCGCACACCGGGGCGCTGGCTGGAATCACGTTCCCAGGCTCCAGGCATTCTAAGCTCAGTCTGGAGCAGGGCCTAGGAATCTGGATTTTAACAAGCAGCCCAGGTAAATCGCATCCAGGTGGCCCAAGCCTTATCGTCTAAAAAACATAGATCCTGGGCCTCCGAGGACGGGGGACTGAGAAAAAAGGACAAGAACCAGGGAGGGACCTGAAGCCAACAAAGCAGACTCAGACCCACAGACAGTGGCATCATGGGGTCTTGGGCAGAGGATCCGGCGTCCAGATCACAGAACCAAAGCAGATACCAGGAGACCCTGGGCCTTTGTGACACACGCATTCCCTGCCCCAGGCTAAGAATTCACCATGCAGATGGTGGCTGAGCCCACTCCAGATTCATGCCAAGACCTGGCTTTAGGTCATCCACTAAGCTGCCCTCAGAGCTCTCTGTCACTCTCTTCTCAGCTGACCATCTGTTTGGACCCAATCACCCAGCCTGGCCTTCACTTACTAGCAGGAGGCTTGCCTGTGTGATGGCCCTGCCAGCCCTACATAGCCTGAGACCCGCTGTGGGCTTGCAGGAGACTTTGCTGGAGGAAATGCTCCTGGCTTTACTTTGAATATTGTTCAGAGCTCTCTGAGATAGTTCCTCTTGGTCCACATGGCATTAGCAGGGATGAGGCAGGATAAACGTGTACTTCTAGTGCTTCCAAGAATAACCCGCAGCAGCAGGGTGCAAGGACGTACAGCACACTCCACTCCGCAGCGGGCTGTGCTCGGATTACTTAATGTGGCCAGGCGCTTGGCTTGGGCTTTAATTGTGGTTCTTAAAAATCCACTAAGTTTTCATTTAACAACTAGTCTTAACTGCAAAAAAGTAACACTCGGTGGCTTCAAAGCTACTTTCTTAGGCTGCATTGTGAGTACAGGATGTTTATTTTATTACCATCCTTAAAAACGTACATCTATTATATACACTCCCTCATGTCTCGTGTTTCATAATACACCTATTTTGATAAGAGCCGCACATGATAAAAAGCTTCAGAGAGAACATCCCTCCCTTTCACATGTCAAACTGCCCCTCCCGAGACAAACATTGTTGGCAGCTTCTTCTGTCCCCTCCAGGAAGAGCCTATGCACACTGACAGGTCACACATTATCTCAGTTAAGCCTCACTCATTTTGGGGATCCATCATGCAGCTCAGGTGAGAGATTGGAGGCTCCAGGATGTTAAGTGACTTCCTTTAGGCCCCACGATGCAGGGCTAGACGCCAAACCAGAGCTAGACTCCCAACCCGGGGCAGGCTCCCTTGCACTGTGATGCTCAGAATTGCCAAGCGCCAGAGTTGGCCGTGTTATCTTTCCCTGATGGAGACAATCCATCAAATCCTAAAGTGTGGGGTGTGAATGAATGGTTAGTATAAATGCCACCCTCAGAGCCAGTAGCTGCTGAGCGCAGAACAGCTGGAAGCACTAAATCCCTTCTAGGCAAAACAGGTGTGGGCCATTAAGCAAAGAAAAGTGCTCATACTGGGAATTATTGGGCACAAACTGGTTGGTATAGTCTAAGTTGCAGCCATCAGAGTCTGGATCTGGGGAGCAGTGGGGAAACCAGAAAGGCACTGGACTTGGCACCAAACCCTAGATCTACCATAGATGACGTGTTACCTTGAGCAAGTCACTTACCTGCCCTTGGCCTCTGCTCTCTCATCTGTCAAATGAAGGCAGTACTGCCTGCTCCCATCTACAGGGGTGCACTGGGAGAGAATGCTCAGCAGCCTAAGTGGCAACTGCCCACTCCCTCTGCACTGGGCCACAGCAGTGTCAGCCCTGGAGTGCCTTTCCTGCTTACAGCCAGTGTGGGCCAGAGAAAGCCTGCTAAAGCCAGGCTAAGCTTGTGCCCTACCAGAAGGATGGCGAGTACAAACAAGGTACTTCTGACCCAAAATCAAACCAGTTTTGTTTCAGTGTGACTGCCTTTCTCCACTCCAAAGCTGTGAGCAAATCCTCAGATTTAGTGGGGAAGCCAAATGTGAACTTCCCTTAAAGTGATGTTAAGAGTCTGCCCCACAGCCCAAGCGGTCTTGCATCAGAGGGTCTCAGCGCAGAGAAGACAGGCAGAGTATCCGGGACACACTTAGAGCGGAGGCTCTCCTGGGTCAGGATCTCAGGGCTCTTTCCCTCCTGCCTGCCTGACGTCAGAGTGGTGGGGAGGACCACAAATATCTGCTCCCTTGAGAGGGCTACTAAAGAGAAACAGAATCCCCAGATGTTGTGTAGGCATTATTTTATTTGGGGGGAGAAAGGGCACATGGGGAAAGGTCCTCATTTTAAATTCAAACCAGTGGTGCAGCCCACTACTCGGGTAAGACAGAACACATCCTATCTTCCCCATGGTGCTGTGGCCTGTTTGTTTTGCTAACTACTGCTTGACAGTGCCCTCCAGTCGCCAGGGAAGAGGAAGCTGCTGTGTAACAGGATCCCAAAGCACTGACTTTACCGAAGGTCACTGGTGAGTCACGGGGCAGGATCTGTTTTGAAGGCCTGGCTCTTCCTGTCTGTCTGCCAGCCCACTGCTCTCAGCCCCTCCCAATCCAAACAGGTTGCAGGCAGAAAGACTGAAGTGGCCTCTGTCCAGTTCCCATTTTGTCCCACCACCCCGCTCTTCTGTCCCTGTGAGTTAGAGGCACTGCCGCACCACCCTGGCCCCAGCCCCGTCCTTCTCAGCACTCATCGGCCCCACCTGCATAGCCTCTCCCCACTGTGACTTTAGCTTTCAGACAGGCTTCTGACATAGGACTCCAACAGGGCCCCCTAGTGCCTGGCTGGCCCTCACCAGATACCAATGGTCCTAGCCAAGCTGCCTCAAAGGTCCGGCCTCACAGGGCCTGGAGGTGCCAGGTGCATCAGTCACCACCCCTCAGGCATACTGGCCCTCTGGTTGGCCCTTGAACTTCCAGTGGCTTGTTGTCAATCATGCTTCACCTGACTTCAAATCCCAGACTTCCTCATTCTCCAAAGGCTGCTGTCAGTGCTGCCCTTCGCTGCCACACTTGAGGGGCAGAGAGGGAGTGGGGTGCAGGAGGAACGATTATCATGCTTGGGGCCACTAGAGGCCTGAGCACATCTGTGGACCTGAGCCCAGGTTGAAGAGCATTGTGAGAAGCAGGCAGCCCTGGGAAGTGGGAGAATTCGGGACAAAGTCATTTGAGTCAGCCTACATTTGCTAAAATCTCCAGGACTCTGCGAATGACAGCGGGAGGATGAGTGGCTTTGCCTCAAGATCACCAACTTGAGCGAGAACACTGAGGTGATGAAGAATAAAAAGCAGAGCTTGGGCTGGGCTTGTGATAAAAACTAGAATGGGGAGGGGAAGTAATAAGCCTTCGATAGCACTGACAAAAGGAAAAGCAGCGAGGTAAGAGTAGAGGCAGATCAGCTGTGTGGCCCTGAACAAGTCACTTGACCTCCCTGAGCCTAAGGCGCTGTGAAGTGGTGGTGATGACAGTATCTACTGAATCAAGGTGTAGTTTAGGAGAAACTAAAGGCAGGCATGAAGTGTGCTCAGCACAATGCCTGGCCCTTAAGCAGGGGTCCAAGAAACCGGAAGGAACTGCTCCAAAGCCTGCTGGCCCAGCCCACTCCCTGTCACCTGCAGAGACCTGGTGCACTGTTCTCCCTCTGGAAGCATCTATAGGCACCAGACTTCCATGCTAGGACATCTGTTAGAGCCTGAGGTTCAGCATAATCACACAGGAGAGCAAGTCTGAAGGCCCACTGGGTACCAAAAACCAACCATTACAGAGAAAAGGAAGAAGCAAAGCAATCAGGGACTCCTGAATTTTTGCCACCTTCTGTGATAGCTCATAAGGTACCACCGTCAACTCTCTTATGAATGGACACCAAGTGTTCCTAGCTTGCAATGGCCAAGGAGAAGGCCACAGACCGAAACTGTCCATGGGTTAAGATCCCTAAACACATAAGCAAATATAAAGGTTAAGGCAACATGCTTTGTATATATAAAAATATATGTGTGAACAAAGAAGAACCTGCACTAAAAATTTATTTTTGTTTTTTTATATGGCTTTCATAAGGATGCACACTAAAGTAGAATAACCCTGAGATCATTCCTATGACAGCTGAAATAAAACAAAGGGTAAAAATATAAACGAGACAGCACCATTTTATACTGAGTCGAAGATGAGGCAGACGCAGCTATACCACTCCTGCTGTGTGGCCCTGGAGAAATGGGACTTCACTTCTCTGAGACACAGCTTCCTGGACCTCTGAAATAAGGACCTGGGATCACACTGCCTCTCCACATGCCCCACGAATTTCATGAGCCTCCCTACAAATGATCTGAAAGGGAGAAGCATCGGGAACTCTCTCCCAGTTTGCAGGTGACATCAGGCTCTTGAAGCACTGAAAGGCAGGGGATCAGTGCACAGGTCAGGATGAAGAGGGGGGAAGGTGGCAGCTGTGCTTCAAAAGCAAATGCAGGGAATGTGCTGAGGGAAAAGTCATCCAGACTCAACTCCAGCTTAATGGTCTTTCTGCCCTCAGCTACACGCCACAGAAAAAGCTGCATGTCACAAAGCCTCCGTCATGTGCAAAACTTCTGTCTTAATGAGCCAAACTAGAGAAGGCTATAATCAGGAAAGAACCTGGCAACAAACCAGAAGCCCCATCCTGTTCTCTAATTCATCCTAAACCCTCAAAAACTCCAGAGGTGCAAAACAGTCAGAGAACTCTCAGAGGAAGACAACATTAGGCCACAAGGATACAGCTTTTCAACCTAAGATCCAAGGCACAGAGAACTTGACCTTTTCACCAAACGCCAGTGTCTGAGTCCTTAAAGAAGCGATGTGAAGCTATCCAACAGGAAGGGCTTCTGAGACATGGCGCAGCAAACAGCTGGAGCGCATCACAGCCAAAGCGGCACAGGGGGAAAATATGAAGACCTTCAAGGACGGTTCAAAAGACGGTGGCAATGATGAACTGTGCTGGTACCAAGGGCTGTATGGGCTCCACTGACCATTTGTCAAATAAAAGCCAGGCAGTGCAGTTCTACGCTCACACTACACAGCCGGTACCCTCACTGCTGGGGACAGGGCTGGGCAGGAGCAGCCACTGCGACCAACCCCCCTCCACCCCTGTCAGGCTGTGGCCTTCCCCATGTCCAGTAAGGAGACCAGTCCCTTTCCCCTTTCTTCCGCACACCAGGCTGGGAAGCATGATGAGCTCCGTCGAGCATAGGTGTATGGTTCTGAGAGCCAAATTCCAACTGTTTTACTGAGGCTGGAACTGACTCCTGGTTATCTAAAATGCTAGACTCCTTTTTTCTATAATAAAAATCCAACTACTGTAAAATTGGAAAATATATTTTTTAATCTTGCCATATTAAAAGTTCTTTTTGTCCATGAGCCAACCCAAAGAAACCTCCCTACATCCCAGAGGTTCCTTAGAAGGGGACAGCTAATTGTAACGTCTAGCTCCCTTATCTTTCCTCTGCATACAGCACCCTTCCTCGGGCAGAATCCTAAAATACCAGCAGTCCAGATTAGCATGACGTGAAAAGTAGGTGCTTGGTTGAATAACATGTAATTAATGAGGGGCCGGGCCCCAAACAGAGCCACCTGGTGGGCATGAACACCAGGCAGCAATGGGGCCGTTTCCTTCAACCAAGTCCTGCCCCTGGCTGTCTCAGCTCTCCAGGCAGCACCACATTCTGCTCCCCGCCGGAGTCCGGGTCGCCCAGGAATAAGAGGGCCGGGGCGCTGCGGCCTTACCTTTCAGCAGGTCCGGGTGCACGTAGCCCAGTACGTCGGAGACCCCCAGCTCCTGGCGGGAACAGGTGCCACCATGGATGTGCAACCAGGCAGGCTCGGCGAGGGCAGTGCACAGCGCCGTGATGGACAAGGCGCCGGGCAGGGCCGAGGCGAGGCTACGCTCCGGCTGCTTGGGCAGAGCGCTGCCTCCCGGGCTCCTCCGCCGGCGCCCTCCGGGCAGCCCAGCGCCTCCGGGGGCATACATGCCCGGGGCCGCCCGCCGCCGCTCCGCGGTCGCAGATGCTCGCTGCCGACTTCCGCAGGGAGCGCAGTCTGCCTGTTTCAGGGAGGACGCAGGTGAGGAAGGCGCAGGGCTCCCAGGGCTGACACCGGAAGCTGGGGAGGTAGGACCTGGGGCCGAGAGTGGACAGGAGGGCTGCAGGGATTCGGGGGGCGGGGATGGGGACTGGGTCCCTAGAAAGGAGGCGCGGAATGAGGGCCCGGAGAGGGCTGGGCTGGGCAGACCGCAGTGGGGGCGGGGATATGGGTTACTGCCGGGAGACAGACCCGAACCCGGGGTCTCAGCCAGAGGGTGCCAAGGAAGACCAGGCTGGGCCGCGGCGATCGAGGACCCGGAATCCGGGAACGGCGCCCTGGGGTGCGGCTTCTGCCCAGAAAAGACCCTTCCCACGCAGGTCGCTGCTTCTCACCAGTCAGCAGGCCTCAGGGATGGCGCCGCTCCGTCCTGTCACGGGCTCCCAAGCTGCCCGGGCCGAGCGATCCCAGGCCCTAAACCCACTACGCCCGGACAGACCCGGGGCCGACCCACTTCCGCTTCCTCTGCCTTTGCCTCCGCCTCCTCCTGCTCCCCGCCCCGTTCCCGCACGCGTCACAGAGCGAAGCACCACCCCCCCCCTGCGTGGGGCCTCATGGGACTGGTAGTTCGAAGCCATCCCTCTACACTCTATGCCGGGGAAGGAGGTCGACTACAATTCCCAGAGGGCAGCGCGGCCGCATTAGTGGGCTCTTCAGTTCCCAGGTCCACCGGGTTCTCAGGCGGAAGTGCCCGGACTGGCGGCCGCGGGAGGTAGCGTAGGGGTCGCGGCGACCTGCGCGGTGGGGTGGGCGGTGGGGACGCTCCCCCTTTCCTCCTGGTCCTGCGTCAGATCGCCATGAAGGACTCGCTGGTGCTGCTGGGCCGGGTCCCGGCGCACCCCGACTCGCGCTGCTGGTTCCTGGCCTGGAACCCCGCGGGAACCCTGCTGGCCTCGTGCGGGGGCGATCGCAGAGTCCGCATCTGGGGCACCGAGGGTAAGGCCCAGCTTGGGCGCGCGACCCCGCCGCCCGGGGTTCTGCGTGCGTGCGTGCAGTGCGGATGCAGGGCTAGGGGTGCGTCCAGGGAGAGGGAGGGAAGCCACCTCGAGATGGACTTGAGCTCCTCCAAAAAAGACTTTTTGGGCAAGTACTAGAAGCCAAAACGTCAGGAGACAGCCTGGAACTGTGGAGGAAATTGTGATAGCTGCTGAGGCAGGAAACTGATAAGAGAAGGGCAGTGGAAAGTAACCTGCAGAGTAATGTGCGACAACGGTGAAGTTTAAATTTTATCCCGAGGGCATTCGGGAGCCATTGACTATATTAAATTAGGACGGTCTTCAGATGATGCCTCTAGAGGAAGTAGGTCAGTTACTGCTTCCTAAAAGCATGTTATTAAATATGCCCATTGAGCTTGACCCTCAGTACTAGCCCCAATTATAAGACGGCAGTGATAGTGTTTCAGTGTCTTCTTATGCACCCAGCCCAAGTGCCTGTCCTGTTCTCTGCTTTTAGGTGACAGCTGGGTCTGCAAGTCTGTCCTTTCCGAAGGCCACCAGCGCACTGTGAGGAAGGTGGCCTGGTCCCCCTGCGGCAATTACCTGGCCTCTGCCAGCTTTGATGCTACCACTTGCATTTGGAAGAAGAATCAGGATGACTTTGAGGTAACCAGACTGGATGGGACCAGGATTCTTGCCCATTTGCTCCCCAGGGCCAGTTGAGGAACTTCTCAAGCCAGCCTGGGCCAGTGGGCTGTCCCGAGGGCTTAGCTGCCATTCGATTCCTGTCCCTTTTCCCTTCTCACAGTGTGTGACCACTCTGGAAGGCCATGAAAATGAAGTCAAGTCAGTGGCCTGGGCCCCATCTGGCAACCTCCTTGCTACCTGCAGCCGAGATAAGAGTGTGTGGGTCTGGGAAGGTGAGTCTAGGTCCCTCCAGGTGCAGGTAGGAGCCAGCAGACAGACAACCAGCTGTGTGACCCTGACAGGGTCATCTTGTGGGCTCCTTTCGTTTTCTTCCCACAGTTGATGAAGAAGATGAGTATGAATGTGTCAGTGTCCTCAATTCGCATACGCAGGATGTCAAGCATGTGGTCTGGCATCCAAGCCAGGAGGTAAGAGTCTGGCAAAGTATCTCAGTGGGAAGGAATTCTGGTCTGGAGGGTTGTGCCCAGCCCCCCTCTGCTCTTCAGCCTCAGCCTGGCTTTCAAAGAGATCACTATATCTGGCCAAAAGACATTAACTCCTGTTAGAAAGAAGCTACCTGGGACTGTCCTGGCCTAGCAGGGAAAGGTATTGGAACCACAAGCACTTCCTGGGCCAAAAGTGCTGTGTTTTTCCCATGTTTTCAGCTATTAGCCTCTGCCAGCTATGATGACACAGTGAAGCTTTACCGAGAGGAAGAAGATGACTGGGTATGCTGTGCCACCCTTGAGGGCCATGAATCCACCGTGTGGAGTTTGGCCTTTGATCCCAGTGGCCAGCGTCTGGCGTCTTGCAGTGATGACCGTACTGTGCGCATCTGGCGCCAGTATCTACCAGGCAATGAGCAAGGTGAGGGCCAGGCACAGAGCTAAGAAGACTCCTCTCCAGGAGTTTGACAGTCTACTCGGGCTGAGACACAGATAAAGCCCAGCAAACTGGGGTAGAAGGGGAGATGTGCCATGAGAGAGCACTGGGAGAATCAGAGAAGGCTACGTGGAAGAAGCCATTTCATCGGAACTTGAAAGGGTGTGCAGGATTTTGGCACAAGAAGAGAATTCTGGGTGAAAACAGAACAGCATGAGCAAAGGCATTAAAGATGGGAAAGCCTAGGTCTACACAAGGAGCAGTGATTCCTTTAGATGAAGCGGGGTTTATATAAAGGGTTTGGGGAGAAATAAGGTGGGTTGAGCTGGCTGGTGGGTGACCTTTAAAGGCAGGTTAACTAGTCAGACCTGGTCTGCAGCAAAAGTATTTTTTAAAAAACAAGACATTCTCAGAATTCTGCTGCAAAAATACCAGTCTGGCCACAGTATGTAAGGCAGATCAGTGAGGGTGGGGACAGAGGAGTGAAGATGAGGACTGGTGATTGAGGGTAGGGGTGAGCGAGGGCAAACTAGGATCTCCTCTGCAGTGAGGCATTTAGACCCCTGAGGTGCCTGGGACACAGGTGTGTCTTGGACTCAAAAGAAGTCTGTCATGCAGGGGTGGCTTGCAGCAGCTCTGACCCCAGCTGGAAATGTATCTGCACTTTGTCAGGCTTCCACTCCAGGACCATTTACGACATCGCTTGGTAAGATGACCATCTCCTTCCCCATCTCCATGCACCCCCCAAATTTGGAGACATTTTTGAGAAGCCAGACTGTGTGCTGCTCTCCACCCCTTTTGAGAGTGCACAGGAATCGAGAGCAGCACCTTCATCTCTTAAGAGCTGGCTGGCCCCGGTTCACAGGAGTCTGGAACAGACCCAGGGCAGCACCAGCCTTTGGGGGGAGGGGGGAGGTCACACAGCATCCTGCCATCTAGAAATATTCATTAATGAAGCTGGATTCGTGGCTGGGGTTTTTTGTTCTGGGTTTTTTGGTTGGTTGGTTTTTGTTAGTTTGTTTTCAAATATGTTTTTATTGATTTAAAAGAGAGAGGAAGAGAGAGATCGAAACATCAATGAGGGAGAAGGATCAATCAGCTGTCTCCTGCACACCCCATACTGGGGATCGATCCCACAACCTGGGCATGTGCCCTGACAGGGAATCAAACTGGCAACCTCTTGGTGCATGGGTTGCTCAACCACTGAGCCACACAGGCCAGGCATAGCTGGGTTTTTTATGATTTAGTGACACTGACTCTACCCTTGTGGAGTCTAGAAAAGCCATACTGTTCGTATAGGAGAGTCAGTCAAGGGGCAGTTCTGGCCCAAAGAGTCTATCCCTAGGAAATAACCCTGAACAATGAAAAAAGTTGGTATGCCTCTAAGCTTTACTTACATTGGCAAGCATTTGGGAATAACAAGAACTAAGTGGTAAAATTCAGTGGCCTGTTAACATCACTTTTAAAAAATGATTAAGCAGACTTCATGACAATGGAAATAGCTTATGCTAAGTGACAGAAGTGTAATTCAGAATCTTAGGTAATTTTTTAGGTTAATTATATTGGGGTAAATCTGGAGGGCAGCACTTGAATGCTTAGGGGATGATGCCTGTGGCTGTATATTAGTTAGGGGAGCTCCTCAATAAGAGATGCTAGCTGAAACCTGAAGTTTGGGAAGAAAGCCAGCGGGGGACTAGAAGCAATAACTTCTAATTCGCCAGGCTGGGGAGGGAGGAGCCACCAGCATATGCACTGATGCACACATTCCTCCCAGGTGCTCACTGACAGGGGCCCTGGCTACGGCTTGTGGGGACGATGCCATCCGAGTGTTTGAGGAGGACCCTGGCGCGGATCCGCAGCAGCCCACCTTCTCCCTGACAGCCCATTTGCCTCAGGCCCACTCCCAGGATGTCAACTGTGTGGCCTGGAACCCCAAGGAGCGGGGGCTCCTGGCCTCCTGCAGTGACGATGGGGAGGTGGCCTTCTGGAAGTATCAGCGGCCTGAAGGCCTCTGAGCCACCTCAACTTTATACAGAATCGTGGTTCCCCCCAAAATGTCCTAAGACTTTTCTAGCTCTAGAGGAACTGGAGGAGCAGCCTGGCTTTCGTTCCATTTGGCTCTTTTCCTCTCCGACCTGGATGGATGTGCAGGGCCACGAACCACTCACTTTCCCTTGTTGACATGGGGCCCTTGGTGAAAAACTATGAAGAGCAATACCTTGGTTATGCCACAGGTTTTGCTTCCCTTCAGGGTGCAGAGTTAAAAGTTTGGGGGGGGTGTACTACTTACAGTCACTATGTGTATGTGCAGGAGACATGTATCTCAGACCTTTCTGAAATTGTAAGCCTTATAGAAATAATCCATCTGAGTCCCAAGTCCTGTTTATGTTATTAGGACATTCACAATTTAAAACATTTCCATGGTGAGGCCTTTTCTGAAATAGGTCCTTCCTTCCTGATTTCTGGCAAAGTCCTTGCATATAAGACATTCGATCGGTTGAAGATTTCCTAATGTAGGCTAGTTTAGAGTAAGAGACACCTCTCCTTTCCCTTAGAAACCCTCGTGTATCTTCTGTGCCTGCAGGGAATGCCAAAAAATAGGGAAGGGTGTGAACCCTAAAAGGGAAAGTTGTTACTGTCCATAGGCTATACATTCTCAATGGGGCTGAAAATTCATCCGTCGAGGGGGACAGAAAAATTACTTAGAGACAGTAATTTCTGGCTCTCTAAGGGACTGCAGTACACAATACACAGTGTATCTGTGGTATTAAATTTTCATCGAGAAGGCAAGTAGGAAAAATGTCTTATCCAGCTCCTTAGGGGAATGATAATGAAAAAAAGGTGGCAAATCAGTGCCATGGGCGATCATTCCTGCCATCTCACTCAAGTTGTCACTTCCAAAGGGGTTTTGGCTTGAGGACTGCCCCAAAGCTACAGCCTTCATTAATTTGTTACCCCACAAAAATCATGACACAGACTGAAGAGACAGCTGGGGCAGTACCAACCCGAGCACCTGGGGATTGGGTCTAAGAGGTCAGCTGTTGCCATGTGGGCAGGAACCGTGGCAGTGGCACCAGCTAGTAGTTGTAGTCTTCACTGCCTTGCTCTCAGAATAGTGTTGCCAGCTTCACTTAGAAATGTCCTTCAAAAACAAATACAAATTGCCTAAAATCTTGACCTTTGGGAACGCTGCCACGTTGTGACTGGCAGCATGCAGAAGCAAAGGTGTAGCTGAGTGAGCTCTGTACCATTTTTACTTGAAAGAAGTAGCAAGTTGTGGTAGTGAAACTTGGCTACTTGACATAATTTCTAGGAAATGAATGAGCCTTTCACTTCAAGGGCAACTGATAGCATTGCCAGTGTTCCAGCTTTCAAGCAAAAATTGGAATTTTGGAAAGCTCGACATCTTCCTAGTACTTACCCTCTTCTGATGAGATTGGTGATACTAACCAGTGATTTGTATGATGAATTATGTTGACATTTGGAAGATCTGCATGATTCAGTGAATCAGCATTTTCCAAATGAGTAATATGTGATGTTACAGAATCATTCATGGGTAAGAGATATCCATGGATCTTAATGTAACAGAACAGGAAGCTCATTGATAGGTTTCAGATTTCACATTGCACTTAAGAAACTATCACTTGTGGAGTCTCGCTATAGCATTGAATAGCCACAATTTCCTGAAATGGCTAAAAACTCCCTTTCCAACTGCTTATGTGTGTGAAGTCGGCTTTACTTCAATTGTAGAAGCAACTACAAGAATCCCTGTCTTAAGTCAGACAGGAATGAGATTGTACAAACATCACAGGCTACTCGTCTCCCTGAATTTGCTTTGGAAATAATGTTTTATAAAAAGTCAATTAAGTTATTAATTTTAATGCATTGTTTTTATTTTTCTTACGTTTTTATTGATTTTAGAGAAAGAGGGAGAGAAACACTGATCGGTTGCCTCCCTTATGCACCCTGACCAGGGACCGAACCCACAACCTGGGCTTGTGCCCTGACCCAGAATCGACTGCCAACCCTTCAGTGCATGGGACAACACTCAACCAACTGAGCCATGCCAACCAGGGCTGTTTTCAATACAGTAAATACCAATGGGTAACAATCTCTTTGGGGTTCTTAATTTTTATAGTGTAAAGGGTTCCTAAGACCAAATCATTTGAAAACTACTGACCTAAGGAAATGACCCTTGAGAATCTCCTTCCAATTTTATGCAGTTATTCCTAAAGAACACAAGGCAAGAATCTGAAGTGGAAGATTTACAGGTCTGGATCACAGTACCAGTGTACCAAGCCTGGGCCACGCCCAGCTGGTACATTTCATCCCTTCTGGGGAGGGCAGGTGTGGGGGACTACAGATCTTGAGAAATTTCTAGCCTGTGATCTGTCTTTGCAGCTCAGTGTTAGTTCCTGCAGTGGTGGTAATGCCTGGGTAATGAGGTGGGAGGCCAGGTATACTGACTGAAAGGGAAGCTACCTAACCCCTCCTCCGCACTAGCTGAAATGGCGGCCTGTGACAGCCCAAAGAACAGCTTTGTCCTCCCAAAGTGTTCCTTCTAAGCAAGTTCAGTGGTTAAAAAAAGAAATCTTTTTGACCATGGACCTTAGGTTAGAAAAGGGAAACAATCTGAAATCACCAGAAACAAATGGTTTCTCCAACTTCTTTTATTAGAATGTCTGACTAATCAACTACCAAAAAACATGCCTAAAAATGCTGTACAGTTTTTGCTTGACAGCTACACAACACCTACAGACATTGGTCCAAAGCTTGGATGGCAAGGTGGCAAGAGGGAAACAGTGGAGGCAGGCTGGAACAGCACCTGCACTGACTGGCAGTTCTGTTCTCCCTGCCAGCAGACCTGGTCACAACTGTGACCCACACAACTCTGCAAGTTCCTAACTCAGGTTCAGCTCTTCTATGCAAAGGCAAAGGCCTCTGCACTCAATCCGAGTCGCTGTCTGTCTCAGCTTCTTTCACATCCACACTGAATTTGTATTCCTGGTCACATCCCATGTACGCGTCACTCATGAAGTACAGGGTGTAGTTGTGGGCTCCAGTGGCCGGGGCCACAAAGTCAAGCTTCACCTAGAGAGAGCAGGCAGGAATCAGGGTGAGGACACAGGAAGAGTGCGCCTGCCTGCCCGTCTCAGAACAAATGCTGGGCCAGTGGACACTCACCTTGGCCTTCTGCTGCAGGGTCAGCCTCTTGATGGAGATGAGGCTATTGGACTTGGCATCTCCGATCACCACCCACCAGCCCTCTTCACGTTTCTGCAGTGACCAAAAGCCAAGATTTTCAGCACATAAAACTTGACAGCCATATGAGACCATGAGAATGGTTACCAAAAACACACATAAACCAGAAAGCTTTCTAAAATTTCCTCCTGAAATAAAATTTGATAAAACTAAGATTTTGAAACTGTTACAGGGTATCTCAAACTCAATGGACTCATTTTTTCATTCTGGCTTATTTACTTCTTATCCCAAAGTACCTCTTCATTCAGTATTTGCCCCTGCACCCAAGATTCCACTATTAGAGATCTAGACTCTGGCCTGGCAGCTCTGAGTTCTTCAGACACCCTTTTAAGGCACATATGCCAAACTGAACCATAAATGTGGAGAGGACCCTGCCCGAGGAGAGGATCTGAAGTGGGCCTTGCCTCTGTCAAGAAACCTACTGGCCACCCCACTGTGAGAAAGCCCAAGAATTGCAGATCCAAGCATCATTCTTCAAAGCATATTAAACCAGTTTGGCCCAGGCCAACGTGGCTCAGTGGTTGGAGCGTCAGCCCATGCATGGGAGGGCACATACCTGGGTAGCAGGTCTGATCCCGGCACCCCAGATCAGGGTGTGTGTGTGGGATGCAACCAATCGATGTGGCTATCACACCGATGTTCCTCTCTCGCGCCTCTCTTTTCCCCTGCCCTGCCCTTCCACACTCTAAAATCAATGGAAAAAATATTCTCACTCCTTGGGTGAGGATTAAAAAAAATAGAACAGTTTGTAAGATTAAACTTAGCGCATTTGGTCTCTGCTTTCAACCTTCAATTACTCTCCCATATAAGGGGTCAATTTCCTTTCTGGTGCTAAGAACCCAGCAACTGGAAGCACAGTACGTGGCAGTGAGAAAGAAGAGAGAAGAAACACCTAGAAAAGCCCAACTGTCCTGGAGCCATTTAATTTAAGGCTAAAGACGTGTTTTTAACAGTCACAGACTGACAATACCATTCAACTGGTATTTTTAACAATGACCATTTAAACTTTTAAGGCAAAAAAAAAATATCAATGGCCCCAAGACTATCTCAGTCTGTAAATCATGACTTCATTATTACTCTAAACTTCCCTCCCCGGTGACACAGCACCCTTCTACTCTGCCTCTACCAATGGACAAAAGGCCTCCAGCAGACACCAGAACATACCTGTGGGAAGAGAGGTGCAATCACAGGACCTGTGACTTCCTCCTCTCGCTCCAGCTGTACCAGCACCACAACAGGACCTCCACTGGTGGGGAGAAAAGCCGGGCAGCACATCAGCACCGGGGCAGTGGGGTGAGCACACGAGCAGGGACCCCAGGGCAGGGACCTGGCCCCTCTGGCTCACCTGCGGATGCCGTCCTTATCCACCACTTCGTATGACAGCTCAATGTTAGGGTAGCGGTTACAGAAGCGGGCCACGTCTGCCATCTGGCCGTCGGAGAGCTGAAGCAGCGCATTTCGCTCTTCATCCTCCATCTCCATGATGTCAAAAACACTCTCCACGCCCTGCAGAGGAGAGGACACACACTAGCACAAAGGACACGGCTCCAAGTGGCTGCTAATGTCCACCCTACACGGCCGTACATTTAAAGACATGGCTTCAGACAGAATACAGCCACAGTTGTCAGGCTCTCTAAATCTCAGTGTACAGCACCTTAGGGGAACGAGACAGAACTAGAGGTCTCCCCTCCTGTGACTCACCCCCCACCCCCACCCCAAGTCCAGGACACTCAGCTCTCAGGCTCAGCCAGGTCTGGAGCCAGCTGACCTTGTCTGTGCAACGTTTGATGTGCTCTGAGGTGAAATGTGGCAGCTGCTTCAGGTATGAGTCCTTGGACCACATGGCCTGGGTGACCATCTGGGCCAGTTCCATGGCTGCCAGAGCAGGACTGAGCCACCCATTGCTGGAGAGGACATCCACACAGGCCTGTATGAGCCGGATCGCCTGAGTGGGGTAGGAGCATGAGAGCAGGTGAGGCTGGAACTGTTACTTCGCAGGCCCCCACAGGCCCTCCCGACCACACCCACACTGCGCTCATACTCTACCTTGCTAAGGATCTCCTCGGTATCTGACTGCAGCTCAGCACTCAGCTGCATGCGGGACAGGTGAGCCTGCAGGAGCAGGTTGGTCTTGACGTGTGGGTCATTGAACTTAGGGTTGTTCAGCTTGTGCGGGACCTTCTGAGCCAACTGGAAAGCACAAAAAAAACAGGTGATAAACAGGTGACCCAGCCTAAGACCAGCTCTTGGGCCAAGGCATCATCCATCCCAGGCTCACAACCCTTCAAAACTCAGAGCGGGGTGGGGGTGGGTGATGGGGGCATGCAGGGATTTTCCTGTGGTGACAGATCCATGCGCTCTGGGTGCACAGGCCATTCTCCTGAAGCCAAAGTGTCCTCACCTGCCGCAGAAGGTTGTCCTCGTGGTGCCGGATGGGAATATTCTCATACTCGGCCGCATTGGAGATGATTTCGATGAGCCCCCGCACCTTAGTCTTGGCATTCAAGGACATGCTGAAGAGCTCTGACAAACACAAGATTTGGGAGGAGTCAAAAGCAGCAGAAAGGAGCAAGGAGGAGTTAACAGCCTGGGCACCCCCGCCCCCTGCAGTACATCCCACTACCAGACTCAGGTACTAGAAACCCGTTATCTCCTCCAATAGCTGCACCCCTTTGGAGCGGGGCTCCCTGGGCAGCAGCCCTTGCCGGCCCCTCACCAATGGTGGTGTAGTTGATGTAGTAGTAGGCAGCAATCATGCCCAGGTTGAGGGGCGCCACGTCCATCTCGTCCTCTATGCTGATGCACTTGGACTGCTCCAGGTCACTCAGGGTCTGCTCCACCAGCTCTGACAGGTGGTCAGACAGGTGACGGTGGGAGATGCCTGTGAAGGAGAGTGACTAGTGAGGAGACGCAGGGAGACGGCCAGCAAGAGCTGAGAAAACCATAAAAGGATGGTCTTCTGACCCTGCAGGTTGTAGTAGTTGGGGTTCTGTGTCATGCGGCGGTACAGAAAGGTCCAGGTGAGGTAGTCCACAGCATCCTGCTTGTTCTCAATGGTCTTGGTGACAATCTCAGCGTTGAAGTGGTCATGCATGCAGTGGTCCAGGTGAGACTCTACTGGCAAGGGCTCATATAAAAACTTCTTGAAGAAATCCTGTGGGTTGGGGAGGGGAGACAGTACTAGTCAATGACACCATAGTCACAAAGAAGGGCCAAGGGCAATCATTAGGAGATGGCCTTGTATGACAGACACAACTAACACCAAAGTGGAGGAAAGCAGCTACAAACAAGTGAGCTGGGTCTGCATGGGGAATGCTGAAGGTGTGCCTATGCCCACTGGCTTCACCGTTATTTTCACTGTGGGGATAGGGATACACAGAGTCATTTGCCGTGGGCTGAGCAGCACAGGGAAGATGGAACCAGCCAGAGGATGAAGACCTCAGCACACGGACACGGCAACAACAGCAACAAAAACAAAAGGCTCCCGGCCAGGCATGGCTCAGGGGTTGAGCATCAACCTAGGATCCAGGAGATTGAGGTTCTATTCCTGATCAGGGCACATGCCTGGGTTGTAGGCTCGATCCCCAGTAGGGGGCGTGCAGGAGGCAGCTGGTCAATG